CTCAGTATCCACAGGGAATTGCTTCCAGGACCCCCCTGCAGATACCAAAATCTCCAGATGCTCGAGTCCCTTATATAAAATGGTGTAGTATTTGCGTATAACCTACACACATCCTCTATACTTCAAATCATCTCTAGATTACTTCTAACACCAAATACAACGTAAACGCTATGTAAACAGTTGTTTCATCAAAAGTGAGGACTTGCTCTGGAAGGCAGTCTTTCTCTTCTATGAGTTTCTTGAACTCTTCTGGGAACACGGATGCTGCCTGGGCATCATCAGCCAATGTCAATTCTCCCGTGATCTTGAAGTTCTTGAGGCTGTAGCACTTTACAGAGCTAGCCAGCCATCTCCTACTAGCCTGAAACTCCTTCTGCTTGCTCTCCTCCACCCCCTCACACTTAGCCTTTGAGGGATTGCTTTGACCACTTCATTGCTTTTTAGGAGCCATTTTTTTACAGAAACAAAGGGTGCACACAGCACAAGTAGCGAACGACAAGACGCGACGGGAACAGGACTCAAACAAGTGCTAGAGAGACACTGAGGATCTGTGAAATGGTGGGAGGTTACAGCAGGGTATGACTACGCAGCACTTCATTCGCGTGGATTCAGCACAGTGTTCGGCAAGCAGCAAATTCAAATTTTGCTTTTTGGGAACTTTTTTTTCCAAATATTTTTGATCCGAAGTTCGTTGACTCTGAACCCATGGATACAGAGGGCCCGCTGTACTATCCTGTCAAAATCTGACTCAACCTTCATCAAAGTACACTGAAACTTGTGAGAGCTGGAACTTGACAGGACCGCACTGTTTTTCCAGGTCTCGCAAGTCTTCTGCCTTTGACAGGGTGCAGTCTAACCACTTTTGTATCGCTATTAGTTGACAATATTTTAGTTTTCCTTCTCTGACAGGTTTCCGCCTTAACCGGTTCCAGCTTTCGCAGGTTTTACTGTATATACCTCTCTTCTCAGAAGAACAGATAGCATTGAATTACTTTACTTTTCAAGATTCAAAATTTCAAAATGGGGAAGCCCCAAATTTGCCCCATCATAAAACAACCTCCCAAATCAAAAGACTCATCTTAAACCAGACTTAAAGTAACTCTTTTTGCTCCCCCTACTACCAACAACAACGAAGTGTTTTATAGTATCTCACATTAGAAATAATGTAAATCCATGCGGATCAGGAGACAGAACATTATTAGTCAAATAAAATGGAAAATAAAATATTCTATCAGAAGTTGTTTTTTTTTCAAGGTGGGTAACTGGCCCAATCAGGGCTTCAGGGGTCTACCTTAAGATCAGTGGTGAACAAAGCTGAAATACATACGTTCAGCAAATGTTTATTAAGCTGCCATAGTGCCCAGATTCTAATAAACACAGGAACTTACTTGGGCACTTCTCCTTGCTACTGTAAATTTTATAATGATGCTTCAACTTAAAAAAAGGCGCCAAACCTCAGTGGATCCTACTGGTCTTCCTATTCCTTCGTCAGTGCCAAGCATCAGATTCAATCTGATCTCCCTTTATGCAACAGGAGAAAATGTCACTGATGCAACTAAAATTCGAAAGGATTCATTCCCCTTGATGATTCTATCTTTTCTCAACACAAACACCTAGAATAATGAGATTCCTACATGCAGGAGTTCCACTAATACAAAGTATTTTCTGGTCAGTCTCCTATAAAACAACAGCCCTTTCTGATCAAGGACTTTGGCCCCCCATAACAACACAAACAGGGCATTTAATTTTGCAGTTGTCTACCTAACATGGCTTCCAATAACATCACTCAGAGGAAACCTTGTGAAGTTAGGAAATAAATTGATTGTGAGACTTCAATTCTTATTTTCTATCTGCCTTTTATGAACCGTCCAACAAGACTTCAGTTTACTTACTTTGGAGGAGATGAGTGGTTCCCAGTAATTTTATGGCCTGATACAATTTTTCCCCAAATTTTGGATACACAAATATCATTTGTGAGTATCAAAAGTAAGGTCATTTTTAAAAATCTACTAGCCTTGTTCATTTTAAAAACATTAACAAGTAGAAGAATATAATCTCAAAATAAGGGACAGCCCTTTAATTTAAAAAACTCACCGTACCGTCCTGTTTTTGTGTACTAGTAATTTTTTCTGTAAATTCCTATCTAAGGGTGAGAATAAGTATCACATCACTTTGTGGAGTTTGTATATCCTCAGATCAAAAATCAGCCTGAAGGTTGATGTCACTTAACAGCCTGAACTCATATATAAACACTGAACATAGATAAAAAATTTTCACATGCCATATATTACTAAAAGTTACCAAGTATTTTGGCATCTCCAGCAATGATGTCAGAGCATGCTTGACTGACAAGAAACTTTAAAATTATATCAGAAAGTGGTCACATTCTTGACAGGTTTGCAAAGCAATACTTCAAAAAATGGCTTAAGTTAGTCTACTAAGCAGCAGGATTATTCCATGGGAATTCATTTTCATAAACATTAGGGTAGGAAACATTCCAGATGGCATAAACAGAACTTATTCTTTCCTTCCTCTTCCTGAAGAGAGGGAAAATGGCAAAATAATTATTTCTTACCACCTTCAAACTTGCATTGCTCTCCACCCCTCAGTAGAGGACTCCAGTTACTAAAATGATACATAGGAACTTGCTCCATATAAAAAAGGACAAAAAAGCCAAACAAGGCTCTTTTAGACTCAAAACCAGATTCCACACTACTGGTAAGTGGCTACACTTGAACCTAACATGCACTCTTTTGAACTTCCAGGATATTTTCATCGCTAATGCTTACAGATCCTAACATTAAATGTAACAAATTATGAGCAATAATAAATACTTCCTAAAAGGAAAACTAACATTTCATTACCAAGGTAAGTCTACAGTACATGTCTGATTTAGCCCATGAATTAGTTTTAACAGCATATAAACAGGGTTTTTGTTTTTTTTTTGCCTCGAACTGGAATGTCACAGTGAGAAGCCATTGTTTAACTGAGCATGCTCAGATAATGAAATAGACATAGAACTGAGCTGGGTTAAGATAAATCAAGACACTATTGTACACCAAGGGCAGAGGTGTCAGCCATGTCGATACTCTAGTTTCAAGTAACTGAAGAGCTTTACTCAAAATGATTAGATAATAAGGAAAATTATCTCAAATAGCAAGAGGTCCAGGGTTGGGTGTGGTAATAAGTCAAGGCTCTCCAGCCTGCCTTTGAGATTCTCGTGGCTCTGCCTTCCTGTTTACCGGTTTCATCCTCAGGCTGTGGGATGGCCACAAAATTCTAGGCATTATATCCTGATAACGGCAAAATCCAGAAGCAAATTGCCTGTTGAGTTTCATTTTTAAGAAGGAAATCTTACCCAGAAGTCCCAACATCTCACTGGTTCAAACTGGACCATATGTCCATTGACCATGTCAATTGCTGGCAAGAAAAACTGGATTACCATCTAAATAATCAAAACTCGCCCCCACTAAGTGAACGTAGCTATTATATACGCCCAGGAAATCTTCACTAAAACTTTCTTCAGTCTTGCTGATCATCAAGTATTAAGGCAGTATGTGTAGAACACTGCACTTGCCATTGTAGTGATGATCTGACATCCATGGCGGCGGAGCTGAATGGATACTTGAGGGGAATGGGAGGGCATAGTGTGGTTATGATTTAGAGCCTTGGTGGCACAGTGGTTAAGAGCTACAGCCGCTAACCGAAAGGTTGGCAGTTTGAATCCACCAGCGGCTCACTGGAAACCCTACGGGGCAGTTCTACTCTGTCTTCTAATAGGGTCATTATGAGACTTGAACACAATGGGTTTGAGGTTCTTTTTTTTGGGGGGGGGGACAAGGGGGGTAGCCATAGGAATGTTACTGGTACTGCACCATATTCCTCCCTAAATATAGTTGTAGCTAAGCTGCCATGCTGTGCCCCTTTAAGTCAATGAAAACAAGTTAAAATGATCCCATATAGTTTCCACGAGCCTCTGGTATAACCAGTTGCCACTAAGTCGATTCCAACTCATGGAGACTCCATGTGTTGCAGAATAGAACTGCGCTCCATAGGTTTGTCATGTCTGTGACGTTTCAAAAGCAGAGTGCCAGGCCTTTCTTCCAAGGTACCTCTGGTTGAATTTAAACAGCCAATCTTTTGGTTAGTAGCCCAGGGTTTAACTGTTTGCACCACCCAGGGACTCCTCTGTGTCCTTATGAGGCCCCTGGGTGGCACAAACAGTCTGTGCTCCACTAATAACCTCAAGGTTGGCAGTTCAAACCAATCCAGCAGCTCCAGAGAAAAAAGGCCTAGCAATATGGCTTCATAAATATTACAGCCAAGAAACCCCTATGGAGTTCTGCTCCGTAACATACAGGGTTGCCACAAGTCAGAATCAACTCAATGGCAACAGGTTTAGTTTTTTTCACGTGTCCTTATAAAACCTCTTCTGGTTCTCTTGCTAGTCCAGACAAGTAAGTATAAGATTATTTCCTCAAATGTCAGGGCTTTGTAGACCAATCCCTGACTTCACTGGCTTACACAAAGGGCCCAGAAACAAACAGGAAAGTTAATGAGAAAAAGAACATGGCTGAATTCTCTTACAGCTTTTAAACGCTAAATAATCTGTTCTTAAACATTCTATAGAACAAATACATGCACATGTAGGTACTTCCCCACTTTGCCCATTCAGATGCTAACGACAATCCTGAAGAACTGTGAGATCATGTTTTCTGAATATCAGAACTCTTAACCTGTACAGTATTTTCTAACTACTTAAAAGCTTGAAATTTACAATGTCATCTACTACTGTAAATTAGTATAAAAACAGAATACTTGATTTATGAACATTATTTTCCTCATTCATCTAACAGAAAAAGACGTATATTTGAATCTAGCCCTTTGACTACACATATCAAGCAAATATACAGTGGCAGACAATTACTCATTTGAACATTTAAATACAAAGCAATGAAGCACAGTTTTCATATGCAACTAGAAATCACACTAGTCTTCAGTTTTAAGTGAAGTGCTTCAAAAAGTTTATTTCGTGCTTAGAATATTTTTCTAAAGCATTACAAAATTATTATACATCCAGACTCTTCAATGACGGAATATTTAACATTCTCCAGAGGACTTTAAAGAAAACTGTTGTACATTATAATACTATAAATCTAGTAAATTCACACTGCAGCAGAACCTGGAAAAAAGGGGGCATTATGGAAACCATCTATTACATAACAAACAGGTGATTCATTCGGAATATTTATGCTTGTGGCTAATAGTCCCTCCACTGCCTTCCCCTTCTTTCCTGTAAAGCTAAAAACTCTGTGTTCTAATTCTTTACAAAATATAGATACATTTAATGTTCATCCTGCAGATTTCCACCTGTCAAACACCGCACAAGTCAAGAAAGTACAGCAGAAGATAGATTTGTCTTTTCAAGAACATATGATTTAAAAACCTCAAGCATACACTGACTTTGTAAAATCAATTAGGAACTTTCTGTATATGGGGACAACAATACACTGAAAACACATATTTTCCTGAGTAGAATGCAAAATTTATTTTACATCAAATTAAGCTTCTGTGAGCTTTTGAAATATAAATGTAAGGCTTTTCCACAACACCAAATAAAAATCAGAAATGTTCAACTTCACATCAAAAAAAGAAAAGAAAAGTTCAAGTACAGGTTCAACAAGGATAATGTCGAATCTGAGATGAGTGGCCAAAATTCTAAAGATTCTGTAGATAGCTCTTCAATTTTAAGGATCCCTCAGTAAACGTTATCAGTTTGAAACAAAACCAAAAAGCACTGTTTACCAAAGCATGGAAAAATTTCCAGAAAATTACCATGTAATTTTGAAAACTAAAAATGTAACTCAAGGCAAATAGGAAAAATGCAAACCATACTGAACAGACAGGAACTAAAGAGGCAATCATCAACCTTTATAGGAATCAAGACAACATCAATAAAAGTTGCCCAAATCAGTAGCATATCCTGTTATTACCATCATATGTAGAAAACTGTAATTAAAGTAAGATGGTTTTTATTAGTTGCATAATCTAAAAATATGAGGAAAATTTGGACTGTATCTCTAAAACGACCAAAGAGCTGTCACTGAAATATACAATTCTTGAAAATATGGGCAAAATTCCCATTTATGGGAAATACGTTCTTTTTTCACACAGTGAAACTGAGAAAAATCATATCAAATGAGAAATCTTTTTCTCTAAAGTAAATTCATTATTACCTCTTCTTCAATACCTCAATAATACAATACTTGGAAAATGTAAATTCTCAACTGAGACTTGAAACAAGTTATTATTAAACAAACATACCCAAACTTTATTGCTTGGCACCAGATTTTTCAAAGGTTAAAGAACTGCTTAAACCACCATGCTGTTCATAAATCGTATTTCGAACCTTTATACCTTGTGCTACTCTTATTTTCTGAAGGTAGACTGTTCAATCTAATGACAATCTAGATTGAATCCTGCAATGTACAAGGAAGTCACAGCTCACTCCAAACCAAAAGAAATTATCAATCTTCTGTTTCTGTCAAAATCATAACATTAAGAGATTTATAACCCTAACTACGATTCCTCCATCCGCGGCGAAGGGCCCACGGAGCGCTGTCTTAGGGCATTCTCTGAAAAGCCGCTCTTTGTTCCCGCTTCACTTTCAGCTTCCTCTTCTGAAACATCTCCTTCGTCGGTCTCTTGTTCCTCCTCCACTTTTTTCAAAGGTTGAGAAGATTCTGGTAGTAATTTTTCTGAAAAATAAAGATAAAAATGTGTTTTTCTTGACATATTAGATTCACTTTAGAGTAAAATCAAGATACATTCACAATGCAATAATGATTCTCATGTCCATAAATTGCTTTGGCATATATTATATATTAGGATCTCTAAAAAGTAGATACTGTAAAAATAAAAATTGGTTTGGAAGATGCATTCTACTTAGCAAATTTATTCTAATTATCCACCTATTTATAAGCTGAACTGAAATTAATGAACCAGAATTAATGCTGTTAATATACACATGTAAGAAAATACAGTGCATTAAATATAACTACTTTATATTAATATTAATTTGCTATTAAGCCTTTTAATCAGGAAGTACAGTGAAATAAACTTCAACACTACCCTTGTTTTAGTTCCCAGGGAAATAGGAATCATTTATGGTTGAAGGCTGTAAACATGTCCATATTTTTTTCAGCTTGTTTCATAATAAGATTCTGCTTCGCCTCCCCCATAAATTTATTAAAGTGTGATTACAAACAATAAATTGTACAAATCTTAAGCATACAACTCAATGAACTTTTAAATATGTACACACGCCCTTTCTTTTTATAGGGTCTATTGCTAATTAAGTGTAGAGCACACTATGTTGAAACACATTAAGACAGAACTGGGCCAACAAGCTTTATCTGTTCATTGATCCCAGACTGCCCCTAATCCGACAATCCAGGAGAATTGGGGAGGGTGAAATAAAGTAACTATGAAAAGAGATCACCACATGGTGGACAATCTGTTGTTTGGTCTGCCTAGCATCCCTCTTTCTGCTAGGTTAACAGCCCTTCCCTTATTCCCCATCACTTGTATTCTGGTGAATGCTATAGTTTACAGCTGTGGTTCTTGGCAGGGAGGCAACCCACTTGCCAATGTCAGGATAAATTTTTGGTTGCCACACTTTAGGTATATAATGGGATGCTGCTGATTATCCTACAATGTACGAGACAGTCTCTTACAATAAAGAATTATCCTGTCCAAATCGTCAATAATACTACTGAGGTCGAGAAACCCTGGTTACAGTGACTGATCCAAGAAATGAGCCCTTTACTCAAGCAGAGTCAACTAGAATTCTTCCAAAAGATAAGGTCAAAGTGGACTGCCTTTTTACTTGAGGATTGAGTGCTTCGGCTTTCCACAATCATCTTATGCTACTGACTCGAAACAGCCAAGCTGATAATGAAGCCAGGCAAAGGTATGGAGTCTGAGCAATTCAGAAACATAGCATCCTGACATTATTTGAGCCCCTGGATCCAGACAATTCTGTCCTCAAACTTCCTTGCTGCATGAACCAATACATTCCTATCTTGCTTAAAGCCAGAGTTGGGTTTCTTTCTCTAGCAAAAAAAAAAAAATCCTGGAAAACAATTCAAATCATGCGGCCTCTTATAGAAGGGGCACTAGTGCATTAAAGTATGAATTAATATCAGTTGTGGCATTAGAAGAAAATAAATTACATAATCATCTGAGTAGTGAATGCTTACCGAGTGCTTATTATGGGTCACCAGAATAATGTGAGCATTACATACTTACCTTATAAGCTTCATAATGATCTAACGGGGCAAATATAATTACTTCCATGTCACAACAGAGGAAACAGACTCAGAGAGTCTATAATAGCAACTTTTGTCACACTCTCATTAAATGGTAGAGCTGAGATGCTCCATCAGGTCCCTCTAGCCCAAAGACCATGTGCTGCCTTTTTGAATAATTTGGGTAGGCATTCAGAAAGTCCACTAATTTATGCCTTTCAGTCTCTCCAAATTCAGATATTTAAAGATACAGATTTCTCTAATGACTTTTACTGTGAACCTTAGCAGGAAAATTTGAGGAGCATCTCTCTACACATACAATGTGCATGTTATAGTTTCTTCTTGCGAACTGCACAAAACCCTCCCTCCGCGCGTTATTTTCATAAGCACGCTACACCAGTATTTTTTAACATGTTGCTGACTTCAATACCTTTTTTTTTTTCCCATCTAATAGATTTGTTACTGGGATAAAACTGATCTCATGGAAACTTCATTTAAGGTAGGTATTTTCTTAAACCAAGTGCAACCAATGGTGAACTGAATGGGCTCATGACAAAAGTGGAACGCCATGTTGAAACCAAAGAGTATAAATGCACGAAGAGCTAGAAATTAGTAAGAAAGAAATGATTCCAGGCCTGAAACTACAAGAACAAGATGCTGTTTGTATTTTACTGCTTTCATAAATCTTAAATGAAACATAATTTTTGATAATCAATGTCCTTGAAATAATACAAGTCACCAGAAGAAACTGTGTTTTCATCTCAAAACAGCCTATTTTAGTTTATTCATTATCATCATTAGTGGTTCTCATTCTCACAGAAAGGCCATTCCTTTTCATGAAGTTTGAAATCCAGGTGAAACCTGCCTTGAAATCTGGAATTCCTCTTTTATTTGCCAGAAGCTTCACTTTGATCTGAACTGTGACACTAGAGACAATATTCTTCCCTTCCACAAATAATCTACTCTTTTCAAGTCCTTCTCCAACTCAGGCCATTTCGCTTTGGGCCCACAAGGTGTGCGTTTTTGCGGATTCATTTTCTCTATCTCCTTTTTCTCCTTTCACGAATGGATGACTCTCCAACCTTGAACTCTTACTGCCACTCTGTTGCTTATTTTTTCTGCCCTTGCAACAACTTTCAGTTTCAAGTCAGTGGTGTAGGACTTGTGCTTAATTCCTGCCATGATCCTAAAGGTTTCTAAGATTTAGATTTATAAACTGAAAAAATGTATACAATATTATCGGTAACTGGCTGGTTCTAGTAAAGAGATCGCAAAATACAAACGTGAGGTGTACAAGAAGCAAGTGTCTTTTTATACGCTTGCACGCATATGGCTAAGGTGACTTACGATCATTGATCAAAGACACTGGCACTAATAAGATATAATTAGACTATGAAATAAGCAGACCTAATGTAGCTTAACGGTTTTACTTAAGATGATCTGATAAAGTTTTCGCATCCAACTGCTGAGCCAAGAGCAATCCTGTATCAGTTTTGCTTTGTTTACTCTTCCAGTTAAAAGCCAGAGTTGGAAGATGACTGTGATAATTATGTCAGTGCAGACTGAATTGAGATTCCTGTTGATAGCTACTCAATGCCATTTGTACCAGTGCAGGCTTCACTTTGTTTACGCTTCCAACTGATAGCATGTGATTTATGTACAGGCTAAAGCAGGTTCAAGGTTGACTCAAAAGCGATGGGGATACAATTATCAACTTAAATTAACAGAAACAAACACACATTTTTTCACTGCTTATTTTTTGATTACCAGGGTACTACCAAACTCGATTCATGACTTCTTGACCATGGCTAAACCTTTATTATACAAGTATGATAAACAGTGGTGGCATAGTGGTTAAGAGTTCGGCTGCTAACCAAAAGATCGACAGTTGAAATCCACCAAGCACTCCTTGGAAACCCTATGGAGCAGTCCTACTCTGTCCTACTGGGTCGCTATGAGTCAGAATCAACTCAACAGCAACAGGTTTGGTTTCGGTTTTTTTGTATGATCAACAGTAATGTTTTCGGGCTATTTAATGAGGGTGAATGAGGCCAAATTCATTTCTGGAAATGTCACAAGTGCAGTATATGCATGGGTACAATATGCCAGAACTTTTTACACAATTTTGTCATTTCCACACATTATGTGTGTGTGCGTGTTATTTACATGGGCATGCTATTTACAGAAAAATATGGTACTTTGGCATTAATTAGCTAATCACTTTTTAAAAGCTGAATTTCCTTGTAAATTGCTAAAAGTAAAGTATCTTTGGATGTTTCCCTAGATGTATCTCTTGAAAAAAGTTTCTAAAATTGTACCTATTGACTGTTCCTAGCTTCTTCAATGGAGAACACTTAACTCCTTCTAAATATGCCAGTTAAATATCCAATAGACATGAGCCCACCAGAGTTGGTATTCTTTCAAGAAGACTGGGTATGGTCAACACGAAAGGGCCAGGGCCTGCAGATTTTCTTACTGGTAAACATTTTCTGTAAGACAGTGGTTCTCAAAATGTAGTCCTCGGACCAGCAATATCAACTTCATCTGGGAATTTGTTAGAAATGCAAATTATAAGCCCCACTACAGACCTTCTGAATCAGAAACTCGGGAATGGGACCAGCAATGCATTCTCAAGTTTGAGAACCACTGCTCTAAGAGGTAAGACTCAGACTCTAACAAAAACTCTTTGCAGATGACTCTGTCAGAGGTGTGAAGAGAATATTTGTAACAGTGGCAATAATGATTAGGTCTACATCTCCCAGTACCCAACATGGATTTTGGTATATTTCTGGGATCCAAAGCCAGTTGCCACCTGTCAAAGGTGGAAAACTCGCAAAACCTGGAAAAATAAGGCAATCCCATCCAGTTCTGGCTCTCACAGGTTTCACTGTATTTATTTCACTTCAAAAACTTTAAACCCAGCAACAAATCTGTCCGTAAGTAATCTGTGTTTTTTTTCCTATGAGTCAGAGGCACTTGATGGATACAGTAATTCCCTCCTCTATACATGGTGAAGGAGCCGTGGGTGGCAAAGTGGTTAAGCACACAGCTGCTAACTGAAAGGGTGGCAGTTCAAACCCACCAGCTGCTCCATGGGACAAAGATGTGGCACTTTGCTTCCGCGAAGATTGGAAACCCTATGAGGAAGTTCTACTCTGTCCTACAGGGTTGCTATGAGTCGGAATCGCTTTAAGCAACAGTTTTTATACGTGTCAAGTATCAATACAACTATTTAAGAAATAAAAAGACAACCTATCAGTTATTCAATGGACAAGGTACACTGTAAATGCAATCTTGTTTGAGCCATAACCAATACTTCCCTACTGATTTTATTTCAGGAGTTTTGACCTCAGTAGATCCTAAGTCAAAAAGGCAGCATAACGGAAAAAATGTCAGGCCATGAGTCTGATTAGGTTCTACTCTCAGCTCTGTCATTTTGGTGTGACTTTGGGGAAACGCTTCATCTCTCTAAGCCTTAGTTTCCTCAACTACAAAATGGGAATAGTATTACGTATGTAGTCTACCTTAGAGAGCAGCTGAAAACAGGATGAAGGAAGAATTTGTGAACGTTCTTTATAAACTGCAAAGATGAAGGCTTCCATAACATTATGCTTTCAAGATTAAAAACAAATGATCAGGGGAGAGCAACTAGGGTCACATAACAATGTGTGTATAAATTTTTGTATGAAAGACTAACTTGAATTGTAAACTTTCACTTAAAGCACAATTTAAAAAAAAAAAGACTGGTAGGTAATTAAGTCAGAAAGCAATAAATGCTTCTAATTATATGAACTCATTTTATAGTAAGGTACAGTGTCAATGTTGACCTTCAATCAGCTACAGGAATTGCTTTTCCTAATATCCTACCAAAAAAAAACTTAGAACTGGCTGGCATACAAATAATAATCATCAAATGTGGTCACTGTAGTAATGAATACCTTCAAAGAGTGAGATATATTAAATTATTTAAATTTCTGAAAAGTATATTCAAGTGGACCCATGAATATAAAAATTTCAAATAAAACGAGATCGACGTTATTAAATGTCTACACGTTATATGCAATGTTAAAAATTTCCATATTATAAAAGTCAAGAAAATAACAATGTCCAAAATCCATTGGGCTGCCATTCTCACATGAAATGTGTACCTCCCTACCCCTTCTTCTATGGCATAGCTGATACAGAGACCACCACTCTGTACTTAGGAACCTAAGCTGGGAGGGCAACCTCTTAAATGTGTGACTGTCTTTATAGAAATGAATGAGATTATAGTGAATAAAACATAAACATTTTAAAATATACTTACTTGAAGGGTATGGCTGCGGTCTGCGCCTTTTTGAAGGACAGAGGCAATCTGCCACAAATATCATACACTGCAAAAATAAACATCGTAAGAAATCTAAACATATACTATGATATAGCTATTGCAATTATACCAAATTATGAGATTTTTTAAAATTCTGTTTTCCCCTAATACTCTGAAAATGAAGTACTTACAAGTCCTAACAATAGTCCTGAGAGCAGGGTTGCTAAAGCAAAAACCGTATATGATCCCCATACTGGTAATCCAAGGTCTTCAATAAAATAGTTATGGCAAGTCTAAAATCAGAAGAAAAAAATAAAATAAAAACCAGTAATTTAAAAAAATAATTAGTTCAAAAAATTTTTTAAATGTTTAAAACAAAAATTTAGCCCGTACCCTGATCCACATAGATAGCTGAAAGAGTGCTGACATACTACTCATCCTAAAATAAAAGAGAGATGATTGAAAAACTGAATAAAATACTTAACTCTGAAATACAATATACATGTATATCTATATCTATTCTATACTCTAGTATTTCTCCAATACAACAGATTTTAAGGTTGGTCTTAAGACTACTGATATATCACCAATTTCAGAACTGTAATAAAAAATGCTCATTAATGAAAAGTAACTCTTTCTGAATTACTACTATGCAACCTGCTTGTAAATAAAATACTTTCTTTTTCTATTGCTCTGACAGTGTTTGTAATAAGAAAATAAATAATTCCTTTATGTTCAAGAAATTTATCCAAAGAATATCTTAGGTTGTTTTTAGTAAGGAGGAGTTAGTATCTGAATTTTGTGTCTAAAAAAGTGAAAATAAAAATTCTTCTCTGCCTTTTGAGGTCAAGCAAATGAGAAGCTATATGAAACCCCAATATATTCTGAGTAACAAGTCACAGGCTCTAAGAAACCAATCGGTTTGTTAGGCTGACCGTAAGCAAATGGCACCCTTAAAATCCTCCAAACAATGAGCAGAGAAAGGAGCTTCAGGAAGAAAAAAACTCAGGAGAAAGGAAATGGGAATATTTGAGCCAATCCTTCCCACCTGGACCACCACCACTCTCCTCACCCCACCTGGGATTCCTTTCTAACCTGGTATTTTAAGGAGAGGCATGAGGGAGCTTCCTGAGATGCTAGAAATGTTCTAAATCATGTATGTGGTTCCTTAATTGGATTAGGCATGGGGATTACGTGGGGGAATTATCACAGCTAAAGGACAATTCAATTCAGAAGTTCTTCTCAGAAGAGAGAAAGAGGCATGTCAAGGAAAGATGCTAAAGATAAACTTCTACTTCAAAATACAGCTTAGGGCTGACACTACCCCCACTCCTAGAAGCCAGGGCATTATTATTTCTTAAACAGCTGGTGTCCCAACTTCCCATCCTCCAAGGGTAAGTGTGGTGAGGGGACCGGAAAAGATAACTTAGCCACACCAGGATGGGTGACCTCAGCAAAACTTGCTATTTCAGAAGACTCTCAGATGACCTGTGTAGCCCTGCACCCAACAGCATAGCAGGAAATACGCTTGCCATCTACTCCTACTCTCCATAGAAAGAAATGCTGAAGAAATGCTAGGAAGAATATAGCTACCCTCTAGCTATCTATAAAGCTCAGTGGTTAGTCATGTCATTAGAGTCACTGCTCCTATATACTACCCATGTAAGTTACCAGACAGGTGGGATAACCAACCAATCAAGAACTGAAATCTAAAGGTAGCATAAGCAGGTAAACATCCAGGGCTTCTTCAAATTATTAAACTCAAGTGATAGCTTTACATTACTCATACTCTTAGGGAGACAATGTCTCTCTGTTAATGCATATGACCATATCTAAAAAGCTAAAATATGCCTGAAAAGGGATTCAACTAAATTCTACAGAATGCCTCTAACTTAAAGATGAACTTATTTGTTTTGATGTTATAGATATTAGTATGTAATAAATCTAAATACACCTTAAGAACTCAGGAAATAAACAGAGCATGAAAGCTTTATTTACATGAAATACAATTACAGCCATGCACCACATAACATCTGTCCAGGCAACGTCCAACCACATATATGTTCGTGGTCCTATGAAGTTATAACAGAGTCATATACAGGCAGTCCCCGGGTTACTAACAAGATTCGCTCCTAAGTCTGTCTTTAAGTCAAATTTGTAGGTAAGTCGAACAGGTACATATGGTTCTTACGTAGCATCAGTCAAACGTTTGTCTTAGTATGTATATTTTACCTTTCTACGCATATAAAACACCTAACGATTCCAAACCATGCAATGTTTTCATAAGCGTCACAAAGTAGTGCATGTGTTTGTCATTACAAACCACTATATTTAACTCAAATTTTGTATAGGCTTCATGGCAGTCTGTTCTTAAGTACGAGCTGTCCGTAAGTTGGACGTCTGGAACCCCAGGACTGCCTGTAATCGCATGACGTCCAAATCACATAACATCCTATTTCACAGAATGTATTGTGGACATTAAACAATGCATGTCTGCATGTTTCAATTAATTCTGAGAAAAATCATTTATACTTACAGAATAGAACCTGGACCAAACCATGATGAAACAGGTTCAATATTCTTCCATTCTTTTTCGCTTATAAAATTTATGAAGTCCTTCTTAGTCCTTGGGCCCTGATAACGCCTAAATTCACCATTTTTACAACTAAAGAGGATCAAAGTAAAAAATTAACCAATACCTCATAAGTAACAGATTTTGTTTTGCTATTCCTTCACCTCATTTTATAGTCAATCCTAATTATTTAAAATCATTAGTAATGCCCAGATGGCAGATTATACTAATTGTCTCACAACATCTTCACCCCAAATTTAATTAAACAACGAGTTTACATTTTTAAATAATAATCCTTAAGACTTTATCATTACTCTTACAAATATTAAAACCATGGAACACAGTAAGTAGATAAATCTCAGAAATTTTAAGTACAATACACATATTAAAGGAATTACTATATGAAAAGTTATTAGAATAATGACTGACACATATTAGCTATTATTAGGTTAAAACTTAAAGACATTAGTGCAGTCATCATCCCATAACCGCAGCCCTACCATGCTTTAAACCCCTGGAATCATCAGGTACAGTGCTTGCTCCCACGTCTTCACCATTTCCAAACTACCCTGAATAATACAGCCAGTCTAATCCTACTTAATAAATACTTCTATTTTTTAGCACTTAAGTGCAAAAACTTTCAATAGCTCCCTACTACTTACAATACTACCTACAGGGTTAAGGGATCTTATATCCATTCAGAGCTAAGGACCACAATGAACACCTCCCCCCGCCCCCCACAAAAAAAAAAAAGTTTTGTGGGGAAGATGGTATTTGAGCTGTTCTTTGAAGGATGGGAAGGATTTCAAGAGGCAGAAAGGTCATGGTAAACAATAACTAAAAACAAAGCAGCAGGAAATTCCAAAAAAGTCCAGGGAGTGTTGAGAAGTGAGAAGAAAGAGGGAAGACTGATTATAGCCAGTCAAGAAGCATGTGGGAAAAAGGACTGAGTGAAACGGGAGAGAGAGAAGCACTCTTGGAGACAGAATAGAAATAGATACAAAGGGGTGAATAAAAACAGGTTCAACCATTAAATAAATGACAAGGAAAGGCATTATGGGATACAGATACAAAGAACTGCCAACTTACTGTTTTCATAACTTTAAATACGGATAGACATATGTCTTGGTATTTAACCCAACAGCTAGATGACATTAAGGTACAGGGCAGGTACACAGATTTGAGGTTTCACACTCATGGTTTAGAAGATAAAGTCAAAATAAAAGGCCTAATGCTGACGACTTCACAATCGTGTTCATTCTGACTTAGCACATGAATGAATAACTCACTACTCTCCCCAAGGATGAGTCACAGCACTTTCTTAGCTATTTTTTGAACAAACCATGCTCCTTATTAATCACTGTTTATGAGATCGTCCTAGAATGGAATAGCTACCCTACACTCTTGAAAATTCTACTCTACCTCCAAGGTTGCATTTAAACTCCATATTCTCCTGGAACCGCTCCAGCCCACAGTGATTTCTCCCTTATTCCACTTCCTACAGAACTTAAAACTTGTGCCACTACTCTGAGCTCATAATTATTTATAATGCTGGCTAGTATTACACCATTTCATGTGAGCTTCCAAAATGACTGCAAGTCTTTGAGAACAGGGACTATGTTTCAAACATCGTTCATGTATCTGCAGGCACCTAGGACAACACTTAAGAACAAAATTAGCCCTCTAACATACTTACTGAACATAATGAAACTATCTCAGTTCTTGAAACATGATCCAAGCCAGAGGCCTACTATTCTGGCAATACTATGATGCATCCTTCTCCATAGCTACAGTATCTTCAAATACTTACTGATAAATAGTCGGAAGAGCAGTTATTATAAATCGTCCACTCAGTCCTACAAAAGGACATAAAGGCTTTAGAAATAAATACAAGAAAGTTCACACAACAGGTCTTAAACAGGCCAATCACTGGCTACTTAAAAGCTGATATGAAACTTTTTAAATATTAATAGGGAAAGAATATGAAATTACACCTAAAATGGTTAAGCTTTGTAATAAACATTAAAAAATCTCTACTATGTACTTACAGCAACTTAAAAAAAAACTATCATACATTATCTCAATTAAAAAAATACATAAAGCTTGAATATTGAAGACAACTGTGAATACAGAAACACTCGGTTGACTATACTATGTGATAAAACCACTAGTGGTCAGTCACTGAAAAGCATAATATGACATTAGCATTTTAGAAAGGTCTAAAATCAAATGAAATTGTATTTGATATTCAAGAAACAAAAGCAGATTTTAACATGTTGCAAAAAATTAAAAACATTATTATGAATCTTTCATAAGGGGGAACAACATTAACAGCTAACATCTATTATTAACCATGTGCCAAACTGATAAAACTGAAGATTAATCTTTTTGTGCCTCAGTTTCCATGTATGTAAAATGGGGCTATTACCTACCTCATAAGGTTGTGTGAGGTTTAAATAATAAATGCAAAACACACAGAAGCCTATAACAGGTAAGTGCTCGATAAATATTAGCTATTATTACTATGTGGGATGGGAGAGAGCCAGGAACTCAGGCTTAACCACCAAGAACAGGTAAGATGAAGCTGGTCTGAGGAAGGAACACCCTCAAAGGCAGGGCATGTCTCTTGTCCAGGGGGCTGAGTGAGGAGTGTGCCTGACCTCACAAGCATGAGGGCAACTAGTTTTTTGGTCTTTGTTTCAAATCACAGCCATTACATTTGGGAAAGTCTGATTTCAGAGACTTAGATCTTCTCTTGTCAGGGAACTTAACCTTGACCCTACAAAGAACCTCAATCAAATGCTTCTTATTCTGAACCTTGGTGTGGATACAAATGGTTGCTTGGCCAAGGTACATCGGCACTACAGTGTTCTAGGACTTCTCTAAAGGCATCTTACATGCTAGTCTGGGGCATGAGATGTAAACAAAAAAGATCCAAAGCAGTTATTTGGGCAACCAGGGGGAAGGTGATGTCTCCAAGGTCCCTTAGAGCAACACATACAAGGAATGAGCTGCATACACAACCAGGGAGCCTGCTTTTTGCAGCCATTGCACACTGCGCCCCCATCAGGGAGGTGGGCCAGTCGGCTTAACTAGCTGCAGACCTCATGCTTTCAAAACCTAACAAAAGAAGTTAAGAACTCTCAATGTGGAAAACAGAATAAGCATATCAACCCAATCTGCAAAGAAACAAAACTAACCACAGAGTTGTAGTACCTGGTTGCTCTGTGACATCTACTTTTGCAACATTAACCTCAAGATCTTCTCCCCATTCAGCAAAACTTTCCCATTCTGGTTGAAGATTTTGACAAGCAGGACACCATGGAGCATAACTAAGAAATATAGTATATTAAAAAAAAAAAAAAAAGAACTAAAGATGAAAGGGTATCTAAGAACATACAGACATTCTGCAAACATAAACAAAGTAAATATATAGCAAGACTTAATATATACAGATCACTGATGAACAGATAAATTTCTAAATTGTCTTCACCTAATAATAAAAATTTTTTAAATGTTACTATGCTACAAAGTTAAGCACTCTAATATGACCATCCCTTGAGACAAAAACTTTAAAATTTACAATTTTTGAAGAATATTTTCTGCTAAAAACAATGAAGCTGGCAAAGTGTAAGTTTTATGCATTTTAAATGTGGGGCTAAACCAAACAACCACACCAGTTGCCGTGGAGTCAATTCCGACTCATAGCAACCCCACAGGACCTAGCAGAACTGCCCCATAGGGTTTCCAAGGAGTGGCTGGTGGATTTGAACAACTGCCAACCTTCTGGTTAGCAGCCGAGCTCTTAAAACACTGCGCCACCAGGGTTCCCATGTGGGGCTAGTACGCTAGAAATCAAGAACTATGACGCTAATCACATAAAAGCCACCTGAGAATAAATTCTTAAGACACAAAGACTTGTTCACATGCAAAAATAGCTCTTCAGGAAAAAAAAAAAATCTCTGAACTTCTCTAATAAAATGTAGCCACCAAATAACTCAAAACCAAACCTGGAGTTCACCAATTTCAGTAATGCTGCAGGAGTCACAAACGCACAAGGTGTGATATAAGAAAAATAGCAAGTGGCCCGTGCTGTGGTGAATAAGGAAGCACTAGCCCATCTTAAAGTTGGCAACCACTACTCAGCATCATTGCCACAGGATGGCTGGCCTGGTGCTGCAGCCTATTTATACTTAAAAGAAGCTGGAAATCTGCACTTTCTTGTGTTAAAATGTTACCTCAAATTTAACCACCCGCACAACACTAGGCAGGCCAAAGAAAATTCTTTTTGGCCAGCCTCTTCATCCTTTTTCAAGACCTCTGGTTTACAAATTCTGTGGCCAAGCACATTAACATTTTAATTATCTCACTGGTGTTCAGCATCTTCCCACGCCCTGATTTTTCCCTAGGATTTCCCTAGGAATTATAATTTGTTTCAGTTCTTTTATGCAAACAGGTAGAATCAAGCCTATACATGTTAAAGACAAGAGTAGTTTCTGTCCTTCATTATATTTTCTTCACTTGTTTCATGAACAGAAAACTGCTAAAATTAATAGGCATTGCGGAACAAGACAAACTAGTACCATATATAAAAGCCAAACTCCATAACAATAAGTTGTATTACAATGAAAGTATCTCTGTAACAAAACTTCTGATCAGAGATGGGTTGTTTACTGTAGATAATTCACTTGTAATTACAAAAGCAGATTATCACAAATACTACCAGATTCCTTCTTTTTCCCCCAAGTTCCTTTTGTTTCTTAATTGCTTTTTAAAGATTTCCTTAACCTCAGAATCTATGGGCTAAGCGAGGAAAAAAAAAAAAAAATACTACACGACACAGTACTATAATTTCAAAAGGATGCTAGTTAGGATTTAGCTCATTTCATTTTGTTCCCCTTAATACTTCACTTTTTACTGCTTTGTTTATATAATTTGATTAGATGAGTTAAAATTATCCTTAATAATAACACTTGACTGTATTTTACATATAAATTCATAATCACTATTGCTTAGCACATTGTTTATGAAACTCTGAATAATTTATGGGCATGATCTAAAACAATGGCATGACATGAAAAAGAAAGGCTGTTACTGGTTATTTTTCCTCTTCCCTGCAGCTTTAATAGTGCCTGAAAATGTATTTCACCAAGTTGCAGACTATATGCATTCCATAAACTTTCCCCCCTATCTTAACCTCCACATAAATGTTCTAAGCCTTTTTTGATTTTGATTCAAGAGTTACTGATTTGGCTTTCTGGGTTCTCCCTTGCCTCCCTAACACCCTTACTTGCATCCATGATAGAGGAAACATCTGAACATTTGTTTAAGAAGGGCGGGATGTTCTAATAATTACTACACCCCAACTCTGTGTTAGATCTGGGGACCTCAGGGAAAGTATAGAAATATCAGTGGAGGTTAATTAAGGGATTTAGGCATCTGTTTCACATCTATAATAAGAGAAATAATACCTGTATGTAGAGGATTAAAAACGAGAATGCAGGTAAAGTGCTTAGCAGTGTCTGGTACACAATTAACACTCAATAATGGTGCTTTTACTATTATCACTAAAAATACCACTAATATCACCAATCCTACTACCACCACCAATTTAGCACCTAAAGCTAACTGTCCCACTACAGAAGTGATTATTATTTAAACAGAATCACCACACACACATTATTTTACTTGACGATGATTTGGAACGCTTGAGTTTGTTATTGTTATTGCTAGGTGCTCACGAGTCAGCTCCACCTCACAGCGATCCTATGTACAACAGACCCCACGTACAACAGAATGAAGCACTACCCCTGGTCCTGCGCCATCCTCACAATCATTGCTATATATGAGCCCACTGTTGCAGCTACGGCATCAATCCATCTCTTTGAGGGTCTTCCTCTTTTTCTACTTTACCAAGCATGATGTCCTTCTCCAGGGACTGGTCCCTCCTCATAACATGTTCAAAGTAAGTGAGACGAAGTCTCGCCATCCTCACTTCTAAAAAGCATTCTGGCTGTACTTCTTCCAAGACAGATTTGTTCATTTATCTACCAGTCCATGATATCTTCAATATTCTTTGCTAACACCATAATTCAAAAGCATTAATTCTTTTTCGGTCTTCCTTATTCACTGTCCAGCTTTCACATGCATATGAGGCAACTGAAAATACCATGGCGTGCACCTTGGTCCTCAAAGTGACATCTTAACTTTCTAACACTTGAAAGAGGTCTTTTGCCACAGATCTTGACTGCTGCTTCCAAGGGCACTGGTTGTGAATTCAAGTAAAATGAAATCCTTGACAACTTCCGTCTATCATGATGTTGCTTATTGGTTCAGTTGTGAGGATTTTTGTTTTATGTTGAGGTGTAATCCATACTAAAGGCTGTAGTTTTTGATCTTCATCAGTAAGTGCTTCAAGTCCTCTTCATTTTCACCAAGCAAGGTTAAGTCATCTGCATACTGCAGGCTGTTAGTCAGTCTTCCTCCAATCCTGATGTCATGTTCTTCTTCACGTAGTCCAGTTTCTTGGATTATGCGCTCAGCGTACGGCCTGAGTAAGTATGATGAAAGGAGACAAGCCTGACGCACACCTTTCCTGATTTTAAACCACACAGTATTCCCTTGCTCTGTTTGAACAACTGCCTCGTAGTCTATCTTCAGGTTCCTCATAAGCACAATTAAATGTTCTGGAATTCCCATTCTTCACAATGTTATCCATAATTTGTTAGAAGTTTATAATCATACTATATAATACATTAATTTTATGTTTTAATGCAATACCACTTAGAGAGGCCTAGAAGTCACAACCCAGGCCATTGCCTACGTTGCAAAAACATACCCAAAGCATCAACGTGATGTGGAAAGAAAGGAAAGCAAAAAAAAAAAGAAACTAAAATTTAAATTAACCTAATTTAACTACTCAGCATTTACAATGAAAAAGCAATGTACCTAATCCACAAAAACTAAATAATCAAAAATAATTAAAGGACCCCAAATTACAACGCTATAAATTGACTATTTTTTAAGGATAAAACTAGACAAAAGGAAGGCGAGGAGAGACTGTGCTGAATTTCCTTTTGTAAAATATGGTGAAAATAAGCCTAGAAGTCTGTAAAGGCTCATTCTGAAATGACTGTATGGAAACTAATCAGACACCCACTCCCAACTCCAAAGCCATGAAGAAAAGTAAATAGATAATTCGAAGAGGAACATAGTCTCTTAGACGCACCACAGCCCTAGAAACGAAACTAGGGTGTTCGCTTTGGTAGAAACTTAATGTATTCGCGGGTAAGAAACGAAGAGAGGGTGGGATCAAACTGTGGCTGATTCAAAGAGGAGTTTGTGGATCAGGATGAGTAGGGGGCACTAGCTCCGCGGCCCGGAGGTGCCAGCCGGGGAAACCTGGGGCCCGAATGAGGCGGGGGAGAAGTCGGACTCCAGGCTCGAACCCAGGACCCCGGCCGGGCCGGCGGGCCGAGGGACCCCTGGACAACCGCCCTGCACTCACAATTCTATCATCCACTCTCCTTCCAGCAACTCTTTCCAGTTCCCGTCCGTGATGACGCGCACGTCGCTCCGCCGCCCGTGGCTCCTAGGAGCCCCCCAAAGCAGTACCACCAGGACTGCAAAGGAAACCGCGAGACTCCTGGACGGCGCCATGTCAGCCGCTCATCCACCCCACAGTAACCCTGTCGGCCCCAGCCTCTGTGCAACAGCTCCTCACTTCCGCCCTCGCGAGCTGCTCCGCTCATGCGCATGATCGTGCGGCGAGGCGCGCGCGTGCCTGGAAGAACCTCAATGCGCATGACGGAGACCTAGTCCTGGTGAATTACTTGGTAGAGAATAAAGAGCGCTTCTCCCTAGTGCGCATGGCAGAAAGCTGTTTCTTCCCTCCTCCTCCTCCTCCCCACACCCCGCCCCACGTGTGTGCGCCGGCAATGTTGGGACCAAAAAGGGAGAAAAGAAGGGCGTGGTGTAGAAAGTGCGGCTGTGCTTTACAGAGGAATGGCTCAAAACCCTGTGTCAGAATTTTGGTGTCAAATGGTTAGCGTTTATACTTACTCAAGCTAATTCTAAAGTTTATACTAAAGCAGTTTCCAATTAAACGCCCTTCACAGTTCTCATTTGGCTAAGGAATTTTGGAGTACAAGTAATGGATGTTTACTGGAGTCAGAAAGGAGCTTTGGTGGCGCAGTGATCACACGATTGACTGCTAACCGAAAGGTGGGCGGTTCGAAACCACCAGCGGCTCGGCAGGAGAAAATGTGGCAGTCGGCTTCCTACAGATTTGTATGCTTGGAAACCCTGTGGGGTCGCTATGAGTCGGAATAGACTCCGCGGCAGTGGGTTTGAGTTTGGGGTATAGGAGTCAGACTATTATGTAGTTTACATCTGGGGGGTTATAAACTGGGAAGGTGCAGAAGGGAACGTTTTGAGGTGCTCTTTCTATTCTGTATCTTGGCCTTGACAATGGTTACACGGTTGTATACATATGTAAAAAAAGAACGTGTATACATACTTTGATTGTAAAAAAAAAATTAAAAATTCAGTTGGTGAAGAGATCACTGGATCAGAAATTGCAGGGAACTGGGTAACAAACGAGTTGAAATCAACTCGATGGCAACGGGTTTGGTTTTTTAGTTTGGGTAACAAATACTTGGGATTTTTCCTAAAATATTTGTGAATACAAATGCAAATCAAAATGTGCACTGTCCTTTATAAAGTATTAGTCAGTCAAATGTAAGTATTGGCCGCTATATTTCCTCACCTCACATTCTCTCCTATACTCTAAACGGCCAAAGGCCCCAACCCTCCACTGAATGCCCCTCCTCGTGGACATCAAAACCACTTGATTCTTCCCTGTATTTATCTCGCTTGACTCCCAGCAGCATTCTACAGCCACCACATCTGCTTTATTTTCCTGCCTTCTGTGGCTCCCCACTTGCTTGTATTTTCTCCTTCCTCATTAGCTGCTCCTTCTCAAACATTTTCCTCTTCTTTACTTCCATACATTGCATACCCCAGAAAGCTGTACTGGCCTCTTCCTTCTGTTTATGTTGCTGTTGTTAGGTGCCCTGTCCAGTTGGTTCTGACTCATAGCGACCCTATGTGCAACAGAACCAAACACTGCCGGATCCTGTGCTATTCTCGAAATAGTTGTTATGCTTGAGCCCATGGTTTCAGCTACTGTGTCAGTCCATCTCAGGTGAGGGTCTTCCTCTTTCACTGACCCTGTACTTTACCAAGCATGATGTCCTTGTCCAGGAAGTGGTCCCTCCTGATAACATGTCCAAAGTAAGTGAGACAAAGTCTCACCATCCTCCTTTCTAAGGAGCATTCTGGCTGTACTTCTTCCAAGACGGATTTGTTCGTTCTCCTGGCAGTCCGTGGTATATTTAATATTCTTCACCAACACCATAATTCAAAGACATTAATTCTTTTTCAGTCTTCCTTATTCACACTTCAGCTTTTGCATGCATATGAGGCGATTGAAAATACCATGGCTTGGGTCAAGGGCACCTTAGTGACATCTTTGCTTTTTAACACTGTAAAGAGGTCTTTTGCAGCAGATTTGCCCAACTTCCTCAAATAATCTCAGCCTGGATTTAAGAGCCATCAGTATGCCTGCCATTCCAGTCCTCACCCTTCTGGGAACTTTAGACATATATAGTCGGCTCCTTGTTTGACATCTCTATTTGGATATCTAATATGCAACTCTAACGTTGTTAATTGCCATGGAGTTGGCTCAGACTCATGGCGACCTTGACTCACAGTGATGCCATGTATAACAGAACAAAACGTTGCCTAGTCCTGCACCATCTTCATGCTCCTCACAACATGGCCAAAAAATAGAATTATTGAGTCTCCCTTTCCTAGTCTTCTATCTCAGTAAAGAGCCCCAAGGTCCAGCTGGTTGCTCAAGCCAAAATCTATATGCTGATTCCTTATTGCTGTCTCTTTTAACCACTCTTCATCCACTCATTAGAAAGTCCTTTGAACTCTACCTCCAAACATATTCCAAATCTGACCACTAATTTCCATCTCCACAGCCAACACCCTAATCCAAGATTCCATCATCTCTTGCCTCAACAAATATAATGGGTTCCTAACTGATTTCCCTGCATCCTTCCTTGCTCCTCTAAATGAGACCAAGCCATCTCTCCTTAAAATTCCCTAATTGCTTTCCATGGCATTTAAAATTAAATCCACATTTCTTAAAATTCTTACTCTCATGAACAAATCCTACATAAATGGCCCCTGCCTAGCTCTGCATTCTCATGTACTACCACCCCCACCCCCCGTCCTGCCACACTACACTCCAGTGGTTCCTTGAATATGGCAAACTCCTTCCCCCTTAGGGTCTTGGGGCACTAGTTGTTTCCTCTGCCAGGACTACTTGTCTCAGTAGTCTTCACATGACTCTTTCTTGTCATTGGTCTCAATTTAAATGTTACCTCAGAAAGGCCTTCCCTGACCACCCCATCTAAGGAGGCCACCCAGTCATCTTCCATCATAGTCCGCTCTAATTCTCTGCATAATATTAAACTGGTGTTTTGTTTGGTTATCTGTTTGGTTATTATCTGACTTCTTCCCTCCTCTCAATGAGAATATTTAAGTTCCATGAAGGCAGAAAAGTTGTCTGCTTTTTTCACCACGGTAAAATGTTAAGGTATAATGTTAAGCTACTATTAGAATTTGGCACATAATAAATGCTCAGTAAATATTCATTAAATGAATGAATGAATGAGGAAAATTCTAATTATAAATATGCCGTGCTTTCATTATAATATAAACACTGCACTGATGAAAATGCAAATACTTTTATTGTAGTTGAGATTGTCATTTCTAACTTTATTGTTACATATATAACAAAAAATTTTCCATTTAATCATTTTTAAGTATACAATTCAATGAAATTAATTATATTCACCGTTTTATGCAACCATCACCTCTATCAGTTTCCAAAAGTTTTTCATCATTACAAAAAGAAATTCAAACAGAAATATGTAGAATGGGCAAATAACTCCCCATTTCTCCTTCTTAACCAATAATTCCCCATTTTCCCCTCTTTTTAGCTCCTTGTAACTCCTAATAAACTTTTATCTCTATGCATTTGCCTATTCTACATATTTCATGTAAGTGAGAACATACAATATTTGTCCTTCTGTGTCTGCCGTATTTCACTTAGCATAATGTTTTCAAGGTTCATCCATGTTGTCGGATGTATTAGAACTTAATTTCTCTTTATGGCTGAATAACATTCCATTGTATGTATATACCACATTTTGTTTATCCATTCATCTGTTGATGGACCCTTGGGTTGTTTCCATCTTTTGATTATTGTGCTAGAACGCTACAACGAACATTGGTGCACAGGTATCTGAGCGCCTGCTTTCAGTCTTTTGGGTACATATGTATGAGTTGAGTTGCTGCATCATATAGTAATTCTATATTTAACTTTTTTTGAGGAACCACCAAACTTTTCCCTAGCAGCTTGGCACCATTTTACAATCCCATCAGCAATGCGTGAGGGTCCCAATTTCTCCACATTCTCTCCAACCCTTATTACTTTCTATTTTTCTGATCATAGCCATCCTAGGAGGTAAGAAGTGGTATCTCATTATGGTTTTCATTTGCATTTCTCTAGTAACTGATGATATTGAACATCTTTCATGTGCTTATTGGTTATTTGTATATCTTCTTTGGAAAAATGTCAATTCAAGTCCTTTGCCCCTTTTTTTTATTGAGTTGTTTGTCTTTTTGTTGTTCAGTTGTAGGAGTTATTTATATATTTTGGATATTAAACCCTTATCAGATATATAATTCCCACATATTTTCTCCCATGCTGTAGGTTGCCTCTTCACTTTCTTCATGAAGCCCTTTGATGCACAAAAGTTTTCAATTTTGATGAAGTAAATTCATATATTTTTTTCTTTTGTTGCTTGTGCTTTTGGTGATATATAAGAATCCATTGTCAAAAATAAGGTGTTGCAGTTTTATTCCTATGTTATCTTCTAAGAATTGTATGGTTTTAGTTCTTATATTTAGATTATTAATCCGTTTTGAGTTAATTTTCATATATGGTAAGAGGTGTAGGTCCAACTTCATTCCTTCACGTGTGGAGCTCCAGTTGTCCCAGCACCATTTGTTGAAGAGACTATTCTTTCCTCATTGAATGGACTTGGCGCCCTTGTTGAAAATCAATGACCATAGATGTATGGGTTTATTTCTGGACTCTCATTTCTATTCCACTGGTCTATGTGTCTATCCTTATACCAGCACCACACTGTTTTGATTACGGTAACTTTATAGTATGTTTTGATACCAGGAAGTATGAGTCCTCCTACTTTGTTGTTCTTTTTCAAGATTGTTGTAGAATTTTAATTCCTACAATGGTTTTTTCATTGTATATTTTGATGGTTACTCTGAAGCTTACCTTATACATCTTAACTTATCAGAATCTATTTTAGATTTATACTCAATTCCATTGAGATATAGAAATATTACTCATGTATAGCTCTACTCCCTCTTCTCTTTTTTGTGCTATTATTGTTATGTATATTATATCTATATATGTTACAAATCTAGCAATTACACTGTTATAATTAGTACTTTATATAATTTTACATGGAATAAAGAAGCTGAGAAAAAAAGGAAAGCAGGTATATATTTACAGAATTTACTATATTACTCTACTGTTGTAAGTT